CCCTAAGAATAAGCGCATACTTTGCAAACAGCTGACCATGGAAGCATCTAATAGGGAAAATATCTGGGTGACATCAGTCGGCCTACTATACTCGCACCGCAGTAGTTTAATCGTATGAACATTTCATGGATTAGTTTAAAAAAAAACAACTAAGAAAGAAAGTAAGTAAGCAAGTAAGTTTATTCAGTGTTTAAGGCCATTGGTCCACGTCACATCATATAAAACTCTCATTTGATAAATACAGTTTCCATAATGAATAAGTACAGGTTGTGCACATATATATCTCTTATCATGGGTCAAACATTGCATACTGTCTGTGTTTCGAGTCAGGCTGGGAGGAATTAACAATTTCCTTTGAATGACAAAGTGTGGACAATAGAAAATAAAGTGAAATTCATCTTCATTTTCATGAGAGTTACACCTCTCAAATAAGGGTGAATTTGTTAATTTCCACCAATAGAGACTGCCATTTAATGGAAGGCTTTGAGTTTTTAATGAAGCTATGATTCGTCTGTTCCAATACCGTGGGAAGCTGGTGATATACTCAGTTGTTTCTTGAAGCGGAATTGAAAGAGCGAATAAATTATACTTGAGACAGACTTCTTCCTTATTGTTCTGCACTAATAATGAATGTCACAGCAAGTGAAGCCCCTATAACGGGCTTTAAAAAGTTGTTTATAGTTATTATTTTTGTTTAGAACTCAATTTATCGGCGCTACCGCTCACCGCTCTTCGAAAACCGATGAGCAGTACAACGGGCGATCTGCGAGCGCAAGGGACGCTATTTTTTTTCTCTTCTCGCGAAATTTTTTTTTTTTTGGGTTGAGTGAACCATCTCGTAAGTGTAGGAACTTTGCCATAAATTGAAAACAGATCGTTGCTCATTGACAGTGGACCAGACCTGGTTACTCATTTGAAAATGCACATTTGTTCTTGCAATTTCTGAAGTACAAAAGTACTTTAGAACATGATTATAGCGGCACCCGCTGCAGCGGGACCATCCCTACAGCGGGACATTACCGGAATCCCCCTTTTTAATGTATAAGTACACCCAGTTAACTGGTTGGGTTTAACTTGTCAAGGAAAGGCTCGAACTTGGATTCAGCAGCGGGAGAGATCAAGCGAGCTCTAGCTGGAGGAA